CTGCTGCCGCTGTACCAGGAGGAGGTGCTGCTGAGGCCGCTGGACGAGGAGGGGCTGGGCCGGTAGTAGGGGATGGGGCGTTTCCGGGCGCTGCGGAGACCAGAGGGAGAGCCTGAGGGCCAGACTCCTGCCTCTGCCCCAGCCTGAGCCTGTCCCCGGGGACAGAGAGCCGGCCCGTCCGTCCCCAGCCCCTTGTGACCGGATTCTTCCCTGGCAGTTCCGAGCGCCAGGGAGACAGACCTCGTGCTGACAAGTCCTAAAAAGTGGTAATTTCACTGTTTAACACACCAGGCCCAGAGCTCAGAGCCTCCAGCTGGCCACGGGGTCTACATTGAACTTGAATCCTAGTTTGGTTATTTGTACTTTGACTAGAACCTTCTATTTAAGGCAGGAAGGACAATTTTCCATTTACTGTAGTGTCTCAGTTTCCTTTTTAAAGGAATGTATGGCCCTCTAAAGAAAGGGCAAGTCTATTTAGAGAAAATTAAGTAAACACTCGGACACTTAGCAGACAAGGCAAAGGTGGGGGTGACTGGTTTGGGAAACTGATGAGTTCATCGGATGGACTATTTGGGGTTGACCAAGGAAACCCGAGTCTTCGGAAACGCCACTCTCATGGCGGCAGCCTTCCTCTCCAGCGGTTCTCAACCTGTGGGTCGCGACCCCTGAAAATATATCCTGCATATCAGATATTTACATTACGATTCATAACAGTAGCAAAATTACAGTTATGAAGTAGCAATGAAAATAATTTTATGGTTGGGGGTCACCCCAACATGAGGAACTGTATTAAAGGGTCGCTGCATTAGGAAGGTTGAGAACCACTGCTCTAAGCCGACCCACAGACATGGCAGTGGGTGCAGGAGTTCCCTCCTTTGGCACAAGTTCTTTTTCCTTCTCCAGGCCATGAGGGGGCACCCCTGCCCTGTGGGTCTCTGGACTGATCCTTGCAGGGTCAGTAGGAAAAGCCCTGAAGCCAGTCTGAGGGCAGCACTCAGGCATTCGCCCAGCTTTCAAGGCCTGAGAAAGTGCATCCACTCAGACCTCGGGCTTCTCTCCTCGAAGACCGTACTTGTCACAGAAAACTCGGCACCGGACCAGCCAGTCTGTAAGGAGGCGCAGCGGGGCCTAGTGCTCTGCATTTACATTCACAAGGCACGTCCACATCTTTGTCTCCTTTCACTGCAGCTCATGATACTCCCGGGACCGAGTTCCTCCCAGATTTCCTGGGTGAGAACGTCCCCGTTCCCCTGGGAAGTGGCATGGCCAGGATTCCACTCCAGATCCAGGACTCTCCTCCTCACCTCCCTGCAAACACCTTTAAACTTGACCCCGTCTGCCCTCTGCAACTTGGTTAGGGTGTAGATGCGGACGGGCCTATCTCAGCCAGGACTCTGAGCCTGTGGGTCATCCCCAGGCAAAGGCCCAGGCCCATGGCTTTGGCCTGACCTCACTCTCTTCCCCAGCCCCGCCTCCTGGTCCCAACTCTGGCCACCGCCTAGGCCACACCCAATCCTCATGCTGGCCCCAGCCCTCCCAGCCAGTAGGGCCGGCCGGGTGCTGACTTGGCCCTGAGGTTCTGAAGGCAAACAGTTTCAGTGGTTGGGAGTTTGGGGGTGGGTGGTCCCGGAGCGCCCACAATTCTGTAATCCGGCCCCAGGGAGGCCTGGAGAGAGCCTGAGGCTGGAGCCGGTGGTGAGGGAGTGGGAGTGAGGGTGAAGGTCGCCCCTGCCTCCCGCCTCTCACCTGGTGACCCTCCCCTCTGACCTGGTGACCCTCCCCTCTCACCTGGTGATCCTCCGCGCCTCCAGGTGGCTCGGGGAGTCTCTCCTGCGCTTCCGCATGGGCGAGTAGGACCTCCGTCTCCTGCACGCTCGCTCCCACTCCCGCTGCTGCGAGTTCTTCTCATTGTACTTGGGGTCCCGTTCCCTGAAGGGGTGCGAGGGGATTACTGGGAGCTGGGGCTGCCTGGCTTACTGTGCGAGGGGCTGGGCGAGGGGCACTCACTTCCTGTGCACATGCCCTCCCACCGGGGC